GATGTCAAAAGAGAATAAAAGTGCTATTTGAGCACAGAAACGGGAGTGGATTCTGTCTCGAGTCAACAACAGCCTCATGGGAGGTGACATTTAGGCAGGTTTTACAGCCTGAGTGGACGCAGCAGGCCGATTAGGAGAAGGGCACTGAGAGGCCTGCTCAGAGATGTCCATGGAGGGGAAGTTGTGAAGAAAGGGCAGAGCAAGAAAACAGAAAGGTTGGGGCAGAGGCTGGAAAAGCAAGCTCCGCCAGATAGCAGGGGACTGCCCACGTAACAAAAGGTCTGTACTGTTTCATACAAAGGCAATAGAAATTGGGGATAAAGAACAAATAATTTTACAAATTTGGAATCAGAATTTTTTAATCAAAAGCTTTTCAGTGTCCCAAGGCCAGTTCTCTAGATAAATTCAAGTGTTACAATGTGGCATGTCCCTAAGCATTTCAAATTTATGAAGGCGTTTTAATTCACCAAAAGACAATGACAGTTTATACAGGTGTGCTTGTTTAAACAGCCCAGAGCCACAAGATTAACTCCGCTAGGTACCCAGTCACTCAGTTCTTCCAATATGCTCATCAGACTTTGCTTTCAAGTGCTCTCCATTTCCCTGGTCCCTAAAGAGGGCTGTGTGCTGCCAGTGTTCTCATCCCGAATTCTGCATGGGGACTGGAATGCCAATGCTCACACAGTGTGCAAACACCAGCTCATGCCCACACAAGCAAATGTACCAACTAACCAAAATACATGACATTGCATGTTCAAAAATATCTTCTGGTTCCCAATGTTCACTGATACAATTGAGTCCCCACCCTTCCAATAAAAAATACAATCTGCCATTTAATGATGACAGTGAGGGCGCAGCTGCAAAACAGGTCTTACACTAAGAGGGATGCAAATTCAGGGGCCGATGAAAGCCTCACCCTGGCCTCTATCCCTGTCCTGGTCCCTGGTTTATGCCTAGTTCAACTTCAGAAGGAGAAAGAACCTGGCTGAGGCGAAAGAATTGAGTAACTGTTGTCCCCCCTTTAGACAATAAGCCACTCATTCAATTAACAAATACTACTTGAGTACCTACTGTGTGCACAGCACCAGCTCTGAGAGGCCCACAAGCACTGCAAGGACACACAGTGGGACAAGACCCCCAGGCAGAGAGGTATAAACAGAAAGGCTGAGGCAGCCAATTCTGAAATCAGGCTTTACTCTGCCTTCACTTCTACATGGCCCAGGGTGTTCTGAAGGAGACGGTCGGACTCTTCCCCCCTCACCCCTGAAACCTCTCAGCAAATGTATAAAGCAAAAAAGTCAAAAGCCCACAACTTGATTCCATCAACACTTCTGCAGCTCCACAATGCATGCATGCACCACACACACAGAGAAGGCATCTCTTTAGGAGAGAAAAAAAAAAAGAGGGAAGGGTATACATTTCTCTTCCTTCTACAGGTTCTGCTAAACTGGTAGCGGAAGGTGGAACCCTCAATTCCTCTCTCTAAAATGTAATCCGTTTTCAATCACACCTACAAAGCCTCTAAAGCCCTCCCTCTTTCTCAGTCCAGTGGCCTAATGGTAGGGATGCAACTTGAGAGGCTAAAAGACCCAAAGGCAAAGCAAACAAACCCAAACCTTCACAGTCAGCCTGTGAGTGTGCCTCACAGAAATGGCATACTGGGTTCTGGCACCTTCAAAGTCACTTCTCTGTGTCTAAGCCTCTGTCTGTAAAAGCACCAATTAAAATCCAAAAAACATTTTCCAGGTCCTGAGTGAGGGAAACCAATCCCACAGCCTCCTGAGGGATTCCTCTCAGAGAACCTGGCTGATGCAGCACCCAAGCTGGGCCATCATCCCAGGCTTCTGGCTTCTGCCATCCCTTCTGATGCAACTTGTCACCAAGAATGTTTACTCATCCCTTCATCCCTCAAATAGATTCTTTCCACTCCTCTCTAACCCACTAACTTTGCTCCTCTCTCACGGGCAGGCCTCACAACTTCTTTCTGAGCTGGGATGTCGCCTAAGTCCCCACACCGCCACACTGCCGACAACCTGGTTCCACCAGGTTCCCAACCCTGGATGTACATCTGGAAGACACAGGTGGCTTCTTAGAAATATAAATCCCAGCTCTGATAACAGAAGTACTGAATCAGAATCCTTAGGAGATGCATTCTTTGCAAGACTCTCCTATGCTATTCTTCAGCCAGAGTTTTCCTAAAATACAAATATGACTTTTATCATACACTCATTTGAAATCTTTCAGCAGCCCCCGCCCCACTCTAGGACCCAGCTGCATAATGGGGCACCCATGGCCTTTACCTCCTGATCTCAGCCTGCTCCTCATATACCCATCCAGTCCCCTATATTTCAGCCACGTGACCACTCTAAGGTGCGCAGACGCAGCAGGCTACCTGCTTCACCCCTTCAGCCACCTGTGTCCCTCTGCTCAGAAGCTTCTCTCACCAGCAACACTGCCTGATGAATGTCTGAACAGTCATTCCAAGACCAAAGCCAGCAACCTCTCCTCTGGGAAGCCTTAGCAGATGTCTCCACTCAGACAAGTCACTATGGTGCCCCCATAGCACCTCAAACCAACTTCCAACACCGCACTTAGTACACTTCCCCAGGATTTCTGGTAAGATACTGTCTCACAGCGAATTGGTAAATTCCTTAACATTCCTACATTTAACATCTCTCAATACCAGGAAAATTGACGGAACTCAACAAATGCTTGCTAAATATTTTTCTCTGTGGTACCCCTAGAGTTGCAGGGACCTCACTGGAGAGTCTATATGGCAAAGCAGTTCAGTATATACACTTACTCTCTGTGTATCAACAAAACAAAAATAATCATTTTTACCTACCTATTATAAAGATTAATTGAGGTGTCTCAACCATTGGCAGTCATTATGTACATTACTTACCTGCATGCTTGCAGGTTCGTGGTTATGTGTGTGCACACACATCTCAGAACTGTGCCTGGCACAGGTTCTCAAATAGCTGTTGAACAAATATATGTAACTATAATTAATGATTACTACTTATGTATTGGTCTTTCCTGCTGTACTGCAAATTTTCAGAAGGCAGGGATTCTGTCCCATTTATTTCTGTACCTCATGCCCACTCCAACTCAATAAGTAATTGTTCAATTTAGTTCAATGTAAAATATTAATACAATTTTTATGACTATTAAGAAATTCATCCTGTCTAAGGAATCGCAAAGACAGCCTGGGGCATACTCTAGACCAAAATAAAGAACTCGCTGGCTCTAAAACCTTCCTCCAGTCTCCAAAACCCTGACTGGCTGGCCTCCAGCCTCAACACCAAAGCTGCAGGGCCCCCACCTCAGGGTAGGGCCTGTCACCTATTTGAGCCACAATGGGAGGTCTTCACTGATGACACACACCCCCTCCCCAGTCTGTGGCATCACAGCCCGGGGCAGCAGCTGCTCTACCCAGGAGATGGGCAGCGGGAGCAGAAGCAAGCCGCCTTTTCAGCTCACAGCCAGTTCACGCCCCAGGGACTTAGGGGGCACAGTCAGGAGCAGTGTCAGGTTACCACAAAAATAACAGAGGACCTACACCAGGCGGGTGTGCAGGCCGAGTGCAGAAGGGAAGAGAAATAAAGCAGCCCAGGAGGAGAAGAAAAAAGCAGACATTTGAGTCACAGAGGAGTGGGTTTTAAGAAATGTACTTTATAACTCATCCATTTAGTAACCAGTCCAGAGCAGCTTATATTTATGTTATACTTAACTACTTTGAATGTGCTTTTCAAAACATTATTTTAGGACAAGAGAGGAATGGGGGTTTTGTACTTTGCTTATTTAATGCTCTCTATAAAAGATTTGGGTCAATGAAGATTTTGACAAGTATTCCCACTCAACAAATTCTTGATAATTACTCAGCTTTAATTTTCTCAAAACTAAATCCAAACAAGACAGAGCTAATTAAGTCTATTGAAGAAGGGGCGGGCCTTTGCGGGGAGAAGGGGGCTAATAAAAAGCATTTATGCATTTTTATTTTTTCTAAAATGAAATCAAAGTCCACTCCCGTGCTACCCTCATGCGGGAAGACTGCTGGCTTGATGTGGTCTGACCCAGCCTGGGCACTTCAAATAAAGTTGACTTCAACCACTGTCTCCAGTTAGCAGGTTACTGATTCTCCATCCACTGCTTTCATCTGGGTTTACTCCATACACTATGCTTATTTAATTTGCTTCTAGCAACTGTTTTACAAGAGGGTGGGTACAGACCCAGCTACAAGAAAAGATGCCCTTCTTTGGCTGGGCAGGTAAACACCTAATGCACCTGGTGGATTAGGTTTCCCATTGTAATCCCTATGTGTGAGAGCCACTGTGACTGCCCTGGCAGGGGAAGACTGAGCTAACTCTAACAGGCACAGTCCATTCCCAGCCTGGAGGTGTTGAAAAGGAGGAAGGTAAAAAAAAAAAAAAAAAATCCCAAACCAAAAAGATACTTATTTTTTAAATAGGTCCTCTACACTGTGATGGGAAAAGGCTTCCCAATGTCACATTATTTTGTAGTTACTGATTTACGTTTTACTTTAAAATATCAGGGTTATGAGTATTATAAGGCACAGCAGTGTTCTGAAGAGGATTCTATTGCAAATATTTTTTTAAAGGCTCTAAAATGACAATTTTTAGTGACAGCCACACCAGCATCTGATAGACATGCAAAGAGGCGGAATCTGGGGGGTTATTTGTTTGTTTACCTTTTAGGAAATAACCCTCTCCTAATCAAACCAATACAAACTTCAGGAAGGAACCTATTACCGCTGGAGTTTGAGTTCTGTAAATGTAGAATACCACATAAATAGTCAGATGAATGGCATTTTCATTCTGTCTTTTAAAACAGTCCAGTTCCTAGAAGAGAGGACCTGAGCCCCCTCTCTTCCCCTCGAGCTGTCAGAAATCACACAATTCATGCCGGACACATCACACCGTGCAATTACCAACCAGCACTGCCATTGCTAAAAGATCTTTAAGAATCCTGATTTTTACCATAAAAGCTCTCATTATTATCTCAGCTCTCTTTGCTTGTTCAGCGTGCCTGGTCACTTACAGGAGGAAGATAAAAAACCGGGACTCAGCTCATCTTTCCCAGCCGTGTCTCCCAGGGAGCTGTTCGTGACTCTGCAGCGCAATGCCACGCCACCACACTGGCCGGCTGGGTTTAAAATTAGCAGAGCCCTGGAGAGCCATGGGTAACCTTCTGACAAGGTTAGCCAGCGGAGCAGAGCACGGCTCAGGGAGAGACATTAATAAGAAGCCAAGCAGAGCCTTTCAACAAGCCCATTAGGGCCTCTCGGAACCCCAGCAGTATGGAAACCTGGAGGGCCCGCACCTAAGCATGAGGAGGCTGACCTAGGCTCTTATTTTTACCCCACAGAGTCAGCAGCTTCCTGAGAGGCAACAGACACAACCCCCAAATGTGTCTCCAAGTTTATATTCAACATACTCAGAAACTGATTATACAGTAATTTTTAAAACTTTAAAATTGATTTTCAAAACTTAATATATATGGAACACTTCTGATGATAAAGTTAATACCCTAGATAACCCCAAAGGTGGAGCCTATAGAAAACATGCACAGGAGAAAATAAACTTTCCCCACTGTCTTCCACCAAACAAAAGTCAGTACTAAAAATGCATTTTGATGTATTTTCTTGCACTAATAACTTATTGTTATTCTTTGTATTCCCTATAGTGTGGGGTTCTTTCATTGCCCACCTAACATTTCACATTCAGCATTTTCCTGAGACTTAAAGTTTTCTTTGTATTTGTAATGTTTAAGAGTTAGAGTATTCTGTGTCATGAATATACCATTATTTGGCTATTTCCCTACGGCTGGACATTTAGGTTTTGCCCCAACTTTTCACTGTTAACATCTTCGTAATCATTTCCTAAGGGCAGATTCCTGGAGCCCAAGGGCAGGAAACATTTGAAGCCACTGGTGTAGACTGGGGAACTGGTGAAGACAGATTCTGACTGCCACGCTATAGGTGCCTTCAGAACAAAGGAATGTGTCTCAGTGCTTTCCAAACAGACAACCCTAAATTCTAATGTGACACTTTCCAAGCGCCTACAGGGAGTTCATCAGGCTTAGCACACAAAAGCCCGTTGGCATTGAGATAAAGGACTCCATCTAACAGCTCTGAACACCTGTCAAAGGCAATTCAAATGCTGCTCAACCCCCAAACTGCCCAAACCAGTACCTCATTGGGATAGCCATACTGGTTAGTAAAATATTAGAATACTTCCATACAAGTTGGTAAAGAGTCAGCGACCCAGCCTTGGCTAGTGTGGATCAGTTGGTTGGAGCACCATTCCGTACACCAAAAGGTGCAGGGTTCGATTTCTGTCAGAGCAAATGCCCAGTTTTCAAGTTCAATTCCAACTGATCGATGGTTCTCCTCTCTCTGTCTCTCTCTCTCTCTTTCTCCTTTCCTCTCTCTAAAATCAATATATCTATAATAATAAAAGCATAATATGCTAATTAGACCAAATGTCCTTCCAGATGTCCTCCTGGATAAAGTCAGGGCTGCGAGGGAAGCCCGGGTTCCGGGTGTCAAAGGGAAGCCGGTGCCAGCAGCCAGGGGAAGGAAGGCCGACTCTTGCACAAATTTCGTGCATCAGGCTTCTAGTCCTATCTAATAAAGAGGGAATATGCTAATTGGGCCCTCACGCCATCGCAAAGATGGCGGCACCCACAGCCAATAAGGAGGGAATATGCTAATTGACTGCCACGCCCTCAAAATGGTGGTGCCCACAGCCACAAAATGGCGGCGCCCAGTCCCCTCAGTCCCCCAGCTGCCTAGGGCTGGCCTGAGGTTCAGGCAAGCCTCAGATGGCAGCTGCCCAGCTGCCCAGGGCTGCCCAAGGCTCAGGTAACCAGGGCTGGCCGAGGCTTGTGCTGCCGGCAGTGGCAGCAGCAGAGGTGTGATGGGATGTCGCCTTCCCCTGATCGCCAGGTTGCCTCCCGCCCCTGAGGGCTCCTGGACTGTGAGAGGGGGCAGACCGGGCTGAGGTACCCCCCTCCCCTCTAGTGCATGAATTTTCATGCACTGGGCCTCTAGTATATATATAAAAGAGTCAGTGGCCCAAGCCCACTGAATGCCCGTCCCCATAGCTCCTTACTATCCAACAAGTACAGAGTAAGTGCCTGGCACACCGGGGGCCTCCAGTGGTTTCCATTGTGTCAAAACCCATAACACCTGTTAGATATTTTAAATACCACCCCTGTCCACAGATAATTTAAGATTTGCTTTTTAAATCTTGTTAATCCTCCCTCTCTAGTCAGAGACCACCACTTAAAATCTTAATTACCATCACTTCAGCACTGTTTCTTAAATTCCCTAAATTTTTTTTTTTTAATTGAAATGGACAATGAATAGGAAGCACTTACCAAGATGCCTAACAGGGGGCTGCTCCCACCACTTACTCTCTACAAAGCACAGTGATAAACATCCTAAGATTCATGGACTTGGTACTAGTACCAGTGATATTAGTTCCCTACGGATAAAAGTATCTGCTTAAATCCCAGGAGACATTGAGGAATTCTCGAATCTTCAACTATATTCTCAGAAAGCTAAAACAAAAATATCAAAATGCTAAAATCCAGGGATAAGAGTCAAATACAGCCTAACCTATGCTCAGACCACCCTGGTATTGGCTTACCTATTATACCAATAAAAGCAACACTTAGGGGCCTGACACATTGCTATGTGCTTGCAAGCATGATTTCTACCTTAGTTCTCTTTGCTAAGTTAAACTATATTTTGTGGGAACAAACAGATCATGAATAAATGAAACAGAGTTTCATTTCCTCTAAATGTTTTTGTCCATTCTCTACTGGGGAAGCCTGGGCTGGATCACCAGCCAGGAAAAGGGGAAGAAGGAAAAACAAGGGGCCTATAAAATCAGACTTTGAAAACCAAGAAGGTGCTAGCCTGGACACATTACAGCACTGTCCAGCTCAGCAGCTGGGATCACGGCCCAGCTGGAAGCAAGTCCAAGACAATGCCCATCCACACCTCCATTCCGCAAGCACTGACTCCCAATTCCAAGTCACTGTGGGAGCTGAAGGATGAGCTGCAGCTTCGTGGCCAAATCAGCAAAATTCTAACTGATGGATATAAAAATATGTTAGGCTCTTAAAATCAAATACAATGGCAAAAGTTTAAGAAAATACCTTGTAGGAGTAAATGGAAATAATATTCACAGCTAACATTTATTCAACACTACTGTGTGAGGCACAGGGCTCAGGACTCTACTTTCATTATTTCTTCTAATCTTTCTCACAATTATCTTAGGTAGAGATGCAATTTTGCTATATCTTTAGAAACATGGTCATGTGTCCACCTGATTAATGGGGTGCCCTGCTGCATGCTCCCATACCGTTGTAAGTGCCTGCCAGCACGTCTAGCTCCCAGTGTCGAGCTCCATGAAGGCAGCCCCCTTAACTTCCTTGGATGTGTCCTCAGGACCTGGCACAACACACATCACCTTCATCTAGTGCATGATAAGAACTGAATCTTTTTTTAAAATATATTTTTATTGATTTCAGAGAGGAAGGGAGAGAGAGAGAGAGAGAGAGAGAGAGAGAAAGAGAGAGAGAGAAACATCAATGATGAGAGAGAATCATTGATTAGCTGTCTCTTGCACATCCCACACTGGGGATCGAGCCTGCAACTCGGGCATGTGCCCTGACTGGTAATTGAACCGTGATTGCCTATTTCATAGGTTGACACTCAACCACTGAGCAACACCAGCCGGGCTGAATCTTTTAATTAACAGCCAGAAAAAAGGAGGGGCTAGAATACTGCTCTGATTTTCAGCGCTCATATGCAGGCTTGTCTTAAGTAATTAATGAGGCAAATTAAACTCACAGCCCAGTGATTTTTCTAACCTGAAACAGAAAGGAAAAGGATCCAGTTGCAGAGGATTCCCAAGCAGGTTTCCACAGCCACCTCTATTAGAAAAAGGAGATTTGTGAGCAAGGTCATTTCCACAATTGACACCCATTTTCTGACATTCTGGGATGAGATTCCAGTGCCAGGCGCAGTGCAGGAGTTAGACTCATCACCTCTTGACACTGGCTTGAGGTCAAGGGAGTATTTTCTTCTTTGCAGGAAGAAAAGTTTAAATTGCAATTTGATCAATTTGTCAAGCACCTATCCTTTGGGCTAAAATTAGAAAACATTCTTTAAGGCTGCTAAGTCTTTATCGATACTGAAAGGTCAACTCAGAAGGCAGAGGCGATAATTGCTGTTCTCTGCCTAGTTCATTGTCCATCTTTTAAGGCAGTTAGTCCATGTACAGCATTTCTCCTTGTAAGTGTTTCTGCAATATAAATTACTTTAATCACCCCTAAAACTGTTCTGCTATATGCATCACCAAGTCTGCTCTTGGTGTATGTTTCACACAGGAGGACAAACTTTGCAAAATCCTTTGTCTCTCTTCTAATTACTGAGCAAACTGTAAGAGTAATGCTAAGAGGCAAGCAAAAAGTAGGCTCATCCACACTTGAACCCCACACTGCAGCAAGCTGCCAGAGTATATAGCACCCCAGCTGAAGAGCACAATGACTCCTAGCATAGCTTCAATGTAGCTTCAGGGCAGACCAGACATGGAACATTCATACATTTGAATTAAAGCTCCAAGCAGGTAATGCTGAAATGACACTGAAGACATGTGCCTGGCTGTGAGTTGTCTGGGCACCCTCTGTGAATAAGCAGACCTTGAATGAACCTTGGGTTTTTATTTTCATCCATTCACAAATAAATATCACAGATAACAGATGTTTGAGAATCTGAGATAGGGAAGTTGAAATTCAGAGCATTTTTAAATGTAGATAATAATTACTTTTTCTTTTTTTCCATTAATCTTTTGTTTATTTAGTCAAACCATCCTTATTATGGAACATATGTGAATTACGGAGCCAGAGATATATCAACACCCAATCTTACCAACTTCTGCTGGTAAGACATAAACATCATATAACCTTGAGCAATTCCTTTTTTTCCCCTCCAACC